TGGGATTACAGGCAACCGCCACCACGCCCACCTAAATTTTGTATTTCTAGTAGAGATGGGGTTTCCAGGTTGGTCTTGAACTACTGACGTAAGGTGATCTGCCCACCTCAGCCTCCCAAAATGCTGGGATTAGAGGCATGAGCCCCCGCACCTGGCCGGCAACGACCTTTTAGATACACCAAAGGCATGATCCATGAAAGAATCAATAAGCTAAACCTTATTAAAATTGAAATGTTTGGCTCTGCAAAAGACAATGTCAGGAGAATAAAAAGGCAAGCTGCAGACTGGGAGAAAATACTGTATTTTGCAAAAATGTATCTGACAAAAGACTGTTGTATAAAATACACAAAAAACTCTTACAACTCAACAATATGAAAATAAATAACCCAATTTTTAAAATGATATCAATAGGCCACATACAGTGGCTCACACCTATAATCCCAACTTTGGGAGGCCAAGGCGGGTGGAACACTTGAGGTCAGGAGTTCAAGACTAGCCTGGGCAACATGGCGAAACCCCATCTCGACAAAAAAAAAACAAAAAATTAGACAGGCGTGGTGGCATGTGCCTGTAGTCCCACCTACTCTGGAGGCTGAGGTGGAGGAGCACTTGAGGCCAGGAGTGGGAGTCTTCAGTGAACCAAGATCATACCACTGCATTCCAGCCCGGGCAAGAGCCAGACCCTGTCTAAAAAAAAAAAAAATCAACCGTTGACAGACACCTCACCAGAAGAGATATGCAGATGGAAAATGAGCATATGAAAAGATGTTCCATATTGTGTCACCAAAGCAATGCAAATTAAAATTAAAACAATGAGATACTCCTATACACTTACTAGAATGGCCAAAATCCAGAATACTGTCAATACCAAATGCTGACAAGGGTGTAGAGCAACAGGAATTGAAAAGGCTACATATTGTATGATCCCAATTATATTCCTGACATTCCGGAAAAGGCAAAGCTACAGAAACAGTAAAAAGATCTGTGGTCATCAGGGATTGGGGAGCAGAGGGATGACTAGGCAGAACACAGGATTTTTAGGGAAGTGAAATAACTCTGTATACGATCATAGTAGATAATATGATTTTAAATTTGTCCAAAACCACAGAATGTACAACACCAAGAATGACCATAATAGAGACTACAGACTTCAGGTGACAATGATGTGACAAGGTAAGTTCATCAGTTTTAAGAAATGTACCATTCTGGTGGAGGATGCTGATTAATGGGGAGCCTATACATGTATGAAGGCAAAGGATGTATGGGAAATCTCTGTATCTTCCACTCATTTTTACTATTAACTTAACACTGCTCTAAATAATAAAGTCTAATAAAAAAATTAAAGCATTGTCTAAAACTACCAATCTAAAATTGTATACCCAACATGAAATGTCTTTCAAAAATAAAGGCAATTTTTTCAGACAAACAAAAGCTGAGATAGTTCAACGTTATTAAACCCAAACTCAACTACTATTACAAGGCAGTTCTTCAGGCAGAAGAAAATGGTAACTTTGAATCTACACAAAGAAATGCAAAGCATAGAAAATGGCAAATACATGGGGAAATATAAAAGGTTTTCCTTATTTCATAATCTTCAAAAAAGATAATTAAAGACAGAATAACAGTGTATTTTAGGATTTATAACACATAAAAGTAAAATGTATGACAATAATCTCACCAAGGTCAAAAGTAGAGACATTGGAGGCCGGGCGCAGTGGCTCACACCTATAATCCCAGCACTTTGGGAGGCCGAGGTGGGCAGATCACGAGGTCAAGAGAGCGAGACCATCCTGGTCAACGAGGTAAAACCCCGTCTCTACTAAAAATGCAAAAATTAGCTGGGCATGGTGGTGTGTGCCTGTAGTCCCAGCTACTCGGGAGGCTGAGGCAGGAGAATTGCTTGAACCCAGGAGGCGGAGGTTGTGATGAGCCGAGATCATGCCATTGCACTCCAGTCTGTGTAACAAGAGCAAAACTCCGTCTCAAAAAAAAAGAGTAGAGACATTGGAAATATCCTGTTATGAAGTTATTTTAATATATACTCTTGAAGGCAGACTATGGTATATTAAAGATGGGTACTGTAGACCCTAGAGCAACCACTAATAAAACAAAGAGGAATAAGTTAGTAGTGAACATGCAATGAAATCCTAAAAAAAAAAAAACTCACAACACTATTAATCTAAAAGAAGGCAAGAAAAGAAGAAAAAACAGACAGATGGGAAGATGTAAGAAAAGAAAACAAATAGCATAGGAATAATTTAAGGGTATTAAACCGGGCTTTTAAACAGCAGGACTTAACTATATTCTGTCTACAAGAAATTCATTTTAAATATAAAAGCACAGATAGGTTAAAAGGATGGAATAGATAACCATGCTAACATTAATCATGAAGGAAGCTGGTGGGTGGAGTTGCTATATTAATTGCAAAGTAAACTTCAGAACAAGGAATTGAGAAAGGACATTCCATGTGTCAATCAATGGAGCAAAAAGACAGGACAATTCTAAATACAATGACTCAGGTTTTTTTTGTTTGACTGTTGACATCTTTTAAGCCCCATCTCTTCTTCAGCCCCACAGTGGACTGGTAAGAATGTGACAAGAGCACCTGGGTGCTCCCTCTGTTGCAGCCGGCAGTAGATTCAAGCCAGACAAGTGCCTGCACAGAGGGACCCCCTTCCTTTCCTTGCTTTTCTCAACCTCTGGGCTTAAGCTATCCTCCTACCTTAGCCCCCTAAGTAGCTGGGACTACAGGCACATGCCACCATGCCCGGCTAATTTTTTAAAATATTTTTGTATAGATGGGGTCTTGCTATGTTGCCCAGGCTGATCTCTAACTCCTGGGATCAAGCAATCTTCCTGCTTCTGCCTCCCACAGTGCTGGGATTACAGGTGTAAGCCACTGCACCCAGCCCTCTCAAGCCATTTTTGAACCTGCTTGGGAAGCTTCCCTTCTTTCCCCAAAATAATAAAGTAATAACTTCCCATATCTTCTTGGTGTGTGTGTGGCATCATATGTCTTGATATTGAAGCAAACTTTGGGTGGAGTTCATCTTGCTTCTGTAGAGTTCCACAAACACATTAACAGAGCCTCAAAATACGTGAGGATAAAACTGATAATGTTGATAAATCAGTCAAACATTTAAAAAATGGAAAAATGAATCCAAATTATAATTGACATTTCTCTTAATGAATGATAAACACAAAATCAATAATACCATTGACCAATTTGACCGAATTGATATTGACAGAAGGCGGTACCCAACAAATGCAGAATATACATTTTTTTAAGTACATGTGGAACATTCCCCAAGATAAAGTAAGATGATAGGCCATAAAATAAGTCACAAGAAATTGAAAAGGATTAAAGTAATTGAGACTATCTTCTGACTATGATAAAATTAAATTAGAAATCGAAATCTGCCAAGTCCCCAAATGTTTAGAAATTAAACACGCTTCTAAGTAATCAACGAGGCAAAAAAAGAAATCACGGGAAGACCAGAAAATATTTTGAACTGAATTAAAATGAAAACACAGCATATCAAAATTTGTAAGACGCAGCTAATGCAATGCTGAAAAGGAAATTTAGAGCTTAAACTGTATTAGAAAAAAGATATAAAAATCAACGGTTTAAGCTTCTACTTTAAATAGGTATAGAACAAATTAAACCCAAAGTATGTATAAGAAAGAAAATAATCAAGAGAAAAAAATCAAATTAACAGACAATGAACATTGAAAAATCAATGAAACCTAATATTGGTTCTTTACTTGTAAAACATAACACAACAGAAAAGTACACAAATAAAAAAATACATATACAGCACAATGATTTATCAAATACCATGAAACTACCACATAGTCTTTGAAGAAAGACCAGGACCAGCACCCAGAGGCACCCTCACATCATGTCCCCTCCCAGTCACTAGCCTCTCTGTCGCTCTCAAAGTAATGACTATCCTAACTCATGCAAATGATTTCCTTGCTTTCCATTATTTTATCACCAGTGAAGGCACCTAAGAACTTGAAATTCCAGAGTTATTTTACCTATTTTTAAAATTTCATATAATAATACATTATGTACTAAATATATTTGTTGGCCATTCATCTATCTGCCTTTGTTAAATGTGTGTTCAAATCTTAATCAAGCTGCCTTTGAAAAGATCAATGAAAAAAACAGATAACTTAAGTGATTCTACTCAAAAACTTAAAAAAAGAAAAAAACGGATAACTTTCTACCTATTGTAAGCAAGTCAAGAGAAGGCTCAAATTACCAACATTAGCAATGAAAGAAAGGACATAAGTAGAAATCTTACAGATACTAAAATAGGGAAACATCATTAACAACTTTATGCCAATTAGACAACCTACTTCATACAAAATAACTAAACCAGCTAGGTGTGTAAGAATATCCCATAATAGGCCAGGAGCAGTGGCTCATACCTGTAACCCAGCACTCTGGGAGGCTGAGGAGGGTAGAGAACCTGAGGTCAGGAATTCAAGACCATCCTGACCAACATAGTGAAACCCTGTCTCTACTAAAAATACAAAAATTAGCCAGGTATGGTGGCTCACGACTGCAATCCCAGCTACTTTGGAGGCTGAGGCATGAGAACTGCTTGAACCCAGGACACTGAGGTTGCAGTGAGCTAAGATCACACCACTGCACTCCAGCCTGGGAAACAGAGCGAGACTATCTCAAAATATACACACACACACACACACACACACACATACACACACACATATTCCAAATTAAACACTTAAATTTCTTACCTTTCAAAAACCTTCCAAACTGTCCTTAGACCCATGTGAAATCCTAAGGCATTTAGGAGAGGACTGCAGGTCAAGTTAGGCCCCAAAAACATCTTTAAGTGCCTATAATGTGTGCTACACACTAAGAATTCAAATTAAATATATGACTTTTTCTTACAGTTGTTACAATCTTCATTTGGCTTAAAGACTCCTGGAAATAGAGACATGAATAAGTGACAACACTAGATTTATTAAAGATCATAATACTATCATTTATTGAAGAAAAAAGCATAAAAAGTAACAATTGCGATGGGGAGAGACAGCTTAGCAACATTCTTTTTAAAGTTAAGTTAGCATAAATAAAACAATATTAAATGAAATAGATTTTCAAGGTAGGAAAAGTACTCAAGAATATATTTTTGGACACAAAAATTCAGTTACACAATCGGTCGCATTCAAAATTTGTTATGAGTATTTATACAATTACAAAAATGGACTCATGTTTAAACAAAGTGTCTTAAAAGCTCATCATTTTAAAACAGGCACAATATTGTAAAGGCATATAAATTCAACATGGGCTTTTGAATGTCCTCACTCCCAACTTCACAATCAAAAATAACAGAAGTATCAAAAGATCAGAGTTCAGAGGGCTGTTTTTTCCCTTTCCTTACTTAAGGTTGTTAAGTCAAGCAAACACATTGACAGAGGCAAAATAAACCTTTCATAGCAGAAAGACCAAAAAATTGAATGTAAACTATCCCTCTCCCTTAGGAGATGACACAAACACAAGGTTCATTTGTACTTAGAACAAGGCTCATAACTTCTTGTAGCATGGACATTCAACAGGCACAGAGCAACATTCGCCCCGATACCAGATGCAATTTGTCCTTTAAGGATGCCTCACAAGAATGTTATGTCCAGGTAGCCAGTCCATTCATATCAGGGACTGGTTGTCCTTCTGTTTGCGGCTGTTTATTAAATGCAGCGGCATTACTTTCTTGTGACTATGTATCAACATTCGCGACAATGCTATGAACTGACCTTTCATTTTATTTTTTTAGCAAATTATTCCAGATCCTAAAGACCTTTCATTTTAAACAGCAAAGTTTCTCCTGTCTAGTGGACTCATGGCTTCAGATCATCCTATCTACAGAAAATCATTTTGTACATATCTAAGCCCATTATCAGTTTATCTACTCCTGATAGAAAAGGATGTAATTTTTTGTCAATTTATATAAACAAAGGCTCTGCGACTCCGCATGTATCTCGCTGCAACAAAAACTGGTAAGCCAAGGACAAAGCTTAAGTGTCAGGGACTATGAGTTTAGGGTGGAAGTGAAAATAACCAAAGTGGAACTAAATACCCTACCTGAGTGAACCCAGATCAAGCAGACTTCACCACACTTGCTTCTTAACTGTAACACTAGTAACCAGAAGGTAAAGTCACACAATTTTACCTCCCAACCAACTTCTAAAATAGAAATTTCCAAAAAATTTAGACTTACAGGTTTTTCTATATCTTACCAAGAGTTACACAGACACAAATCTGTATTTAACTTCAGGTTAACATCTATTGACTTTTTTTAAATGCCATCTGCAAATAAACTACTGGACATCTTAGGCTTACCCAAAAAAACTTAAGATTTTTAAATTAAGAAAAAAACTATGACAAAACTCTAGAAAATGGCTTCACGTATCTTTGATAAACACTGATTCTTAAAAATCTGGATGCTGAAAATCAGGGTTTTAAGAACAGGTATTTTAAACTGTTTATAATCCTACAGTCAACTCTAGGTCAGAAGTTATCTGAGCAAAGAGAAGATAAAGCCTGGTATAGAAGGTCTCATAGAAACAGAATTCACAGCCACAAGGCTGCCCTTCAATTTCCCAATTCATCCCAGAAGTCTCATGATGCAACACTTGTCACTTTCATAGGGCTATCAAAAGCAGAAGCCAAGCCAGATCCTTCAGACTTTAAAATATGGTCCCTTATCATCCATTTTAACAGAAATATTAAAAAGTGATTTTTTTTTTTTTTTTTTTACAAAAACTAGCTGGGCGTGGTGGCGCACACCTGTAGTCCCAGCTACTCGGGAGGTTGAGGCAGGAGAATTGCTTGAACCCAGGAGGTGGAGGTTGTGGTGAGCTGAGATCATGCCATTGCACTCCAGCCTCGGTAACGAGAGCAAAACTCCATCTCCCCCCCTCCAAAAAAAACGTGATTTTATTTATTTATTTTGAGACAGTCTCACTCTATTGCTTAGGCTGGAGTTCAGGAGTGCAATCTCAGCTCACTGCAATTTCCACCTCCTGGGTTCAAACAATTCTCGTGCCTCAGCCTCCCTCCCAAGTAGCTGAGATTGTAGGTATGTGCCAGCTAGACCAGCTAATTTTTTTGTGTGTTTTTGTAGAGATGGGGTTTCATCATGTTGGTCAGGTTGGTCTTGAACTTCTGGCCTCAAGGGATCCACCCACCTCAGCCTCCCAAAGTGCTGGAATTACAGGTGTGAGTCACCACACCTAGCCAAAAAGTGATTTTATTTGGAATGCGTTTCATGATTTTCTCTCTGGCTCCCTGAGCATGCCATGATTAGGGTAGAAGGGAGGTGGCACTCAGACAGATAATTCACAAAGTCATCCCATAAGGGTGATACACAGATGCTCCAGCAACTGAGATAATCAACCCAGTGAAAATGCTAACCTGGGACACGTTTCGCTCTTCCCAGAGACAAGAAGGGTATCTACCCTGAGCTGGGGTCTGAGTCACCGCCATGCAGAGGAGCAGAACTGAAGGCTCCCTTTGAGCCCATCCTGCAAACGGGGATGCCTTTCAGTTAATGAGACAGGAGACAGGAGTGAGTTAGTACACAGCCAGCCAGCCCGATACCCAACAAGCAGCCTCAGAGGGACTGGGAGAAGGGGGAGAGGAGACTGGAAGCTGTGTCTCCTGATCTGAAGGGCAGTGCTCCTCCCAAGATAGCATTCAGGGAGCCAACAGCCTGGGGCAGATCGTGCCAGGACAGTGCTTCCACACGGCTGGCTGAGCACCACATTCCCATCTGCAAGAGTCACCTTACTGGTTGACTTAACTTCCAAAATGCAGCAATCCCTCCTTCACCCAGCAGTGAATTGAAGAGGAAGGAATGCAGGGCAGCAGGTAAATAGAGACCATTATCAACCACAGGTCTGAAACCCTAATTCTTTACTCACCCATCAGGTTGCTTTTAACACTGCTGTTGCTTAGTAACAGGTTTCAGTAGATTTGAAATGGATCTCTTCCTCCCACAGTCTAACAAAAACAAGTAGAGAAACAACTAAAGAATAAAGCAACTTAAGGGAAAATTTAGGAAGACCTGGGAGGCAGGGTCATGCAAAAGTTGCCCATGGTGTCCTGACAGGAGCTGTCTGAGCAAACTGGCCCCAGGCCGTGAGTGAAAGCAAAGCAGAAGCCTTTCTACAAGACCCATCTGCCAAGAACACCTCCCTGACACCTCCACTGGTGGGGTGTGGAATTGGCGCTTTACCCTCTCAGAGGATGGAGGCAATCCATCCTCTGACCATTGACTGGGCAGTCATTGTGAATATGAATGAGACAAAAACATGGCAGTGTCCACAGGGCCGGGCACATAGTACTAGATAAGTATCTGTTAGATAAATTAATGATCTGAGACATTCACTCTCACTTTCCAAAGCTGTCAGTTATTTCTGGGATTAAATAACACCCACTCTACTGAGACTCTACTTATGCCGGACCCTATTCTAAGCACTTGCATGTCTCACTGACATCTTGCAAAGACCCGGCAGGAATTGTTATTCCCACAATTTTCAAACAGATGAACTGAGGAACCAGAGGTTATGTAACTTTTCCATATGACACAACTAATATGCCTAGCCACAGCTCACACTCAGATGCATCTGACTTCAAAGCCTACATTCACTACTACTATGCTATACAGCCCTGGTGGCATCTTAAAAGGTACCTTGGCCTCATGTCCCACCAAGTCAATCCAGCCATTAAAAAGGACACGGAGGGGCAGGACACAGTGGCTCACGCCTGTAATCCCTACGCTTTGGGATGCCAAGGCAGGTGGACCATTTGAGGTCAGGAGTTTGAGACCAGCCTGGCCAACATGGTGAAACCCCATTTCTACTAAAAATACAAAAATTAGCCGGGCAGGGTAGCACATGCCTATAGTTCTAGCTACTTGGGAAGCTGAGGCTCGAGAATCGCTTGAACCCAAAGGCAGAGGTTACAGTGAGCCGAGACTGTGCCATTGCACTCCAGCCTGGGCAACAGAGCAAGACTTTGTCTCAAAAAAAAAAAAAGAAGTACATGGAGAAGTCTGCCTTCTAGGTGTCTTATTCCAAGCTGCTGGAGCTCAGCCAACGCTCATACCAGTTCTAAAGAAAAGGAACCATAAGCACTCCTCACCTCCTCCATGCCCCTTCTGATACCACAGCCCTTCTGAAATCTGGGCTCCAAGAGGCACCTGGGATGTGAAAGAATCCCACAAAAGCCTAGCATCAAATTTCCTTTCCTGACTGCAGGCAGGTTAGGGACCTGAGCATATGACTGGGTGCCCTCAACAGCCTAGAAAGGACCTGGGAAGACCAGCTCCTCCCTCTGGCCCCATCAGGCCTGTTCACACCTCCCCAGCCTCAGCAGAGAAGACCAGCAGGACACAGTGGCTCACAACTGTAATCCCAGCATGTTGGGAGGCCGAGGTAGGCGGATCACCTGAAGTCAGGTGTTCCAGACCAGCCTGGCCAACATGGTGAAACCCTGTCTCCATTAAAAATACCAAAATTAGGGCAGGGTGCGGTGGCTCACACCTGTAATCCCAGCACTTTGGGAGGCCGAGGCAGGTGGATCATGAGAGATCGAGACCATCCTGGTCAATATGGTGAAACCCCGTCTCTACTAAAGATACAAAAAATTAGCGCGTGCCTGTAATCCCAGCTACTCAGGAGGCTGAGGCAGGAGAATTGCCTGAACCCAGGAGGCAGAGGTTGCGGTGAGCCGAGATCGCACCATTGCACTCCAGCCTGGGTAACAGGAGCGAAACTCCGTCTCAAAAAAAAAAACAAACCAAAATTAGGTAGGCGTGGTGGCAGATGCTTGTAATCCCAGCTCCTTGGGAGGCTGAGGCAGAAGAATTGCTTGAACTCAGGAAGCAGAGGTTGCAGTGAGCCAAGATCATGCCACTGCACTCCAGCCTGGGTGACAGAGCAAGACTCTGTCTCAGAAAAGACCAAAAAAGGAGAGACCAGTCAGTCTGAGTTCTTAGCCACAATAGAACAAAGAAAGGTTCAGCAATTAGCCACAAGCAAGGGGACAGCCAGCAGGCTACTTCCTTTGGTTTAGAGGTAACAGAGGAGGAGCCCTAGTGGACCGGTTGGCCGTGGGCAAAAAGCAGAAAGGCAATCCAGATAAATGTCATTTGTTGGGTGACTTTGGAGGTCCTGGAGGGCCAGGAACGCTGGCTGACAAGACAGGGCACTGATGGTGGTCACGCAATGAGGAGGAGCTGAAAGGGAACACAAGGGAACAGTGAACATCCTGCAGATCCAGAAAGAAGCTTCCAAAACAGATGGGCAGGGAGGGCCGGCTAGGAGACCGCTTGGCTGATGAAAATGAGGGAAACAGTCACAGGCAGTTACAGGAGGCACAATCAGAGACAGGCCAGGAAGCACTGGGTCATGAAGGAGGCTGACGCTGTGGCTTTGGGTAGATCCAAAAACTAACGTGGGCCTTGATTTCCTTGACTACACAGTGGAGTAACAATCCCTGCTTCTTCACAAGACTCTCCGTAAGAACCAGAAAAGATCATGTACATAAAAGCACTTTGTAGGTTAGGCATCAGGCTGATATGGGACCAACTGCAGTCTAAGGGATCCTCCCCAGCACAGGCTGAAGTGCAAACACTGGGACTATTTAAAGGTCACTGGGCAGGCGTGCCTACTTCCTGCTGGCCGCACAGCAGGGATCTGCCTTCCCACCCACTCTTCCCTGGCCTAGCTCCAGGGAAGAAAGGAAAATAAAATCAGTTTAAAAGCAAACATTTATAAATAATGAAGAAAAAAATACAGCTGAGAGCAGCAAGATTTTTCACCTCCTATGGGCTCTTGTCCAAAAAGAAATAGCAGTGTTCCCTGCTGCTGCTCTGTTCTTTCTTCATCTAGTGCCTGGAGGTCAGAGAGAAAGGTATGTTGGGAGGAGGAGGGAGGGACAGGAAATAAAACCCAAGAGAAAAAGAGTCTGCACCAAATGTCAGAAAATACATTCCACAGTCAGGCATAGAATCAGAACACCAAGAATGCTTAGGTTCAGATTCAGAAACAGCATAAACCACCAAAAAGTGCTTATAATCTACCTCACTGCCTGGCCAGGCTCTCCATGAGCTTGTGTAAGGCAGAGTCATTCGTTCTCAGATGCCAGAGTAGAAGCATGCAGGCTCTATGCAGGACAGAGGTGCTGGTTTCCATGCTGAGGGACAAGTTGACCCCAAATTTCTGTCCCTTACTGTTGCTCCCCTGTGATCTCTGATGGCGTTGCTTTTTGCCACCTGGGAATCACTGGCACCCAAGGCTTATCTGCTGCTGCTTAACAGGTGTGTATTCATGGGAATTCAGTGGGATAACATCCAGAGAGGAAACAGGTACATGGGAAGATTCCACTCCACAAGATACAGAATCCACTTCTCAGCCTGTGCTACTGACATTCAGGTTCGAGAATATCTTGTTGCTTCCAAAAGTAACCCTCAAATGTTCGAATCACAAGCAACACATTGCTGCAGGATAAAAGGCACATGTCTGTAAGACAGAGGTTTAGAAGATATTTACAAAACTGTCCACCAGCTTCTGTCCATAGTGCCTTCCAAAGCTTCGCAAAACTGGCCATGAATTATGCAAGACATGCGGCAAAACACTTCTTCACAGCATCCCTAGGAAAGAAAAGACACAAAGATGGTGGGACGTCATCACCCCAAAGGCCCTCCTCCTTTAGAGCTTCCTGGGCACCCAGAGTGGAAGCTGCAGAGTAGAAAGTACCTAGACTGAAAGATCAGACCCACGTAGCATCAAACTGCAGCTTCAACATTTATTAGTAGTACTCTCCTGGGAAAGTTCTTTGTCCTGTTTGAGTTTCAAATTCCTCATCTATAAGACGGGATGTCCTCACTTACCCTACAGTCTGATTATGAGAACAGCCATCATAATCAGAGAAAAAGATAATATAGATTGTCAGAAACTAAGAAATCAGTCAGGACTACTGCACTTTAATATCAGCCAAAAATCACAGAATGCACTGACAGCATTAAATCAATTAAGTGGGACCTTTCTTCATTCTAAGTAGGCAGCAGAAAATTTTTAAGGGACGCCTTACGGGAGCTCCCTAACACAGTGAGGTCACTATGGCTCCTGAGCACTTATTAATACACTGTATTAGCCTTATCAGAGGTATTCACTCCTTGAAATTCGGTGTAGAGTGTGCAAGAAGAGTTGGTGTTCAAGAAATTACTATTCTACACAAGCAGGCACCTCCATTTCCACCACCACACCACACTGTGCAATGTGGCACTATGCTTCTCATACCCCAGCTCCGTTCCACGTTCTCAACAGTGCTGCACTAGATGCTGGGAAGTCACATGAGGGAGGGAGAGGTGAATGGATGCATTCCATGAGTAGGCACTGCATTTTAGTATCAAGATTCCAGGGCAGCATTTCTTGAGACATACACTCTGTACTGAAGTCCTAAAAGAGTCTCTACACAGGAAGGGTTTTATGGCCACATAAGTCCCCCTCATGGCAGCTCACATAGCATATGGAAGGATCTAGCAAGCCAAGCAAAGAGGAACCTACCTAATTTTGCTTAACCTGTTTTTCAAACTTACTTGATCACAGAACTTTTTTCTTCCACAGAAACACTATTTCCATGGAACACTGTGGGAAAAGCTATTCTAAGGCAACTTATAAACAGAAGGGTGGGGCTGGGTGCTGCAGTTCACACCTGTAACCCCAGCACTTTGGGAGGCTAAGGCGGGCAGATCACTTGAGGTCAGAAATTCGAGACCAGCCTAGCCAACATGGTGAAACTTCATCTCTACTAAAAATACAAAAAATTAGCCGGGTGTGGTGTGTGCCTGTAACCCCAGCTACTCAAGAGGCTGAGGCAGGAGAATAGCTTGACCCAGGAGGTTGGAGGTTGCAGTGAGCTGAGATCGCACCACTGCACTCCAGCCTGGGCAGCAGAGTGCGTCTCTAACTCAAAAAAAGGGGTGGGGACCTAACACTGTGATTCCCTCTGTACTACAGGAGTAATTCATCTGCTCGGCACATGAAACTCACCATCTCAAATAAAATTCCATCGTTCTATTGATCACTTGTACATAAATTTTATACAAGCCAATCCAGATCAAGCCTGAAGCTCTGACAAATGACTCCAAGCAAGTTTCACAAATGGGACCTGTGCAACTGCATTGGCCTCATACTTAGAAGGATCCACATTGGGCTCAATGCCTTGATGTTGCAGTCTTGAAATTCTTAATCATTTTTAAACAAGCAGCCCACATTTTTTATTTTACACTGGGCCCTACAAATTATGTAGCTGGTTCAGGGACCAAGATACATTCAAATGTTGGCAGGCTGATCAATATCTGATTGGATGCTCAGCTACGATGGACTCTGGCTTACTTCACATAAAAATCTAGCTTCCCAGGACATCCCTGCCCATATTCTTCTCAGACAAGCCACCAGCCCCCAAAACCAGCCAGGTCTGCATGGAGTATTTCATAACTGTTACCCTCCTAGAATCTATCAACAGAGCCACCCAGCTGTCTTTCACTTGAAGGGCTTATTAACTTCACATCCAATCACTCCTCGGCACTTTCAAATCACTGTCAGTAACCGTCTTGGAATTCGTAAGACAAGATTGCTCTTCCTCCTTCTCAAGTCATGCATAATTTTTCATTTCTTCAGTAGAGTTTTTTTTTAAAGCTTGTTTTTAACTAACAGGTAATGATTTTAAAAAACAATATAAGTTAAACAGTTGCACTAGAACAAAGTCAGAGGCAAAGATCATGCAGCTAATTTTGAAAGGTCCATCATTGAACATGCATTAGAATTTCAGAACTAAGAGAGGCCTCTGGAGATGATCTAGACCAACTCAGTCTACTTATCAGTGCTCTGAGGCCAGAGGGGTCAAGAGAGCTGCTCGAGGTCACACTGCTAGTTAGGAAGCCCTGGTACTGCTTATTCTGTCTTTTAAACTCTTGTGAAACTTTCCCATCAGTGGGATACTGCAAGAAAACAAGCACAAATTGAGATCCCTCCATATCTTAGTGATCAAAGTGATATTCACCTTTATAAAAGAAAACCCTACTCAAAGCTACAGGTTAAGAGTAATAATGTGCATATATGCACCATATATGAGAGTAGAAGGTTCACAGCATCAGAAATTGGTGTACCTGGGTAAACATCCATCATAGCCGTATAATTAGAGTGGATGGTGGGGTGACCTTTAACTTATTAATCTATACATGAGATGTATAATATTTGTCTATTTGGCTCAAAAGATTTTAGCACAGATAAATAAAACAAGATGTACTCTCTGAAAGCACACTCTAAATTAAAAGGAATGACAGAAATCATGTTTCCAAATACAGTCTTACCTTGCAAATGGTATGAAGGAAAGGCTATACCTATAATGAAAAACAAAACGAAGGGTCAAATGAGATGAAGGGCGTAGATTATCCGGCGGAATGGGCTTCTGAGCTGTAAGAACACCTGCAGTGATTTATCCAGACCCTCTCCCATCCACGGCCTGGGGGGGGTGAACATGTGCACACAAAGGCCCACGCATGTGCATGTACACGTGCACCCAGACACACACACTATGCCATGATGTACAGACAGGTAGCCACAGAAGGAGGGCAAAAGGTTCATGTGGAGATAACCCCTATGACCTAAGCCTCACTGCAGTACTGCTATAATCTTGAGCTAGCAGCAATCACCTAAAACAGGCAGATTCCCCATACCCAGAAGGCACAGCAGCTCTATTCTGAAAAAGTATCAAATAAAACCCAGAATAGCCGAGCTTTTTTTTTTTTTTTTTTTTTTGAGACAGGGTCGTGCTCTGTCACCTAGGCTGCTGGAATACAGTGGCTCAATCACAGCTCACTGTAGCCTTGAACTTCTAGGCTCAAGCAGTCCCCCTGCCTCAGCCTCCAGAGTTGCTGGGACTACAAGTATGTGCCACCATGCATGGCTAATTTTTATTTTTTTATTTTTATTTTTTTTGCAGAGACCAGGTCTTGCTATGTTGCCCAGGCTCGTCTCGAACTCCTGGCTTCAAGCAATCCTCCCACCTCAGCTCCTCAAAGTGTTGGGAATTACAGTGTGAGCCACCCACACTTGGCACAGTTGAACTCCTAACATTTTACAAATTCTAAACAGAATTTAGCTTCTTCCCAATGGGGATAAATTTTCTGCTCACTCCTATTAATTTTAAAAGAAGAGAAAAGAGAACAGGAAAGAAGAAAACAAAGAAATGTGGCCGGCTACTCTACGGGTAAAAATGTAGTAAGTCTAAAGGTATCTTGGGAAATCCCAGTTAGGTCAGTCCTGTCACTTAGAAGCGAACCGTACAAGGAAGAGGCTCCATAACGCTAAAGAACCAGTGACTGTGTGTCAGACAGACTAAGTTGGTCAGCCCTTAGAAAAGCAAACACAGTCAGAATGTGTTGGTGTTAAAGGGAATATCACCATCCATCTGAGCCCGTATGAATGCTGAACCTTTGAAACTGGCTACAAAATCAGTCTATAAGCAAAGCAAGGTGTGTGTATGTGGGTACCAATTTCTGCCCTAGTAGAAAATCAAAATATAAACAGTCTACCAATCAAATGTGCATGTCATTGAAAAAAAATCACACTACCAACCTTCTCCAAATCTTACACTTACCAGGTACAGACTCCAAAAGGCAATTTGAAACTATATTTATTCAAAAGTCCAAAATTGCTAGAGGGAGGGATGGGAGTTAAGATTACAGTTTCAAGATTCATTTCCACCAAATAGGAGTTAACTAATTCTTGGGAACTTTAAAATGTTTATAATCCTTTTTCTTTGCATTATAGCAAACTTTTTTTTCCCCAAAAAAAATAGGTGAGTCACATCTATACTAAAACTGTTCTGGCAGATACCATCCCTTGATAAACTTTGAAAAAACTATAGGAATGTCTTGGAACCTACAGATTCCACCTGTGTCACCACCCCTCTCACTCTGATGTTGTACAGGCTCTAAAAGACCATGAACCTAAAGCCCCATTAATGGCTTCACAAAATGTCTCCAGCAGCCCTTTTACTACTCTTGGCTCTAGACTTACAATTTCCTACTCTTCAATTGAATTACCAAAAGCCAACAGGCTTCTAAGCACATATGCTGGTCCTTCAGCCCACAGACACGAGTTTTTCCATTTCGTCAGTGACTGTTCCTCATCTCCTGCTAATAATTCACTTTGTCCTTCTGTTAAATGATTCACCCTATCACATATGTAACACTCAGTATTTTTCTTAGCACTTTCCTTTTTTGTTAACCTTTATGTGACTCACAAGCCTTTTTACCATCACTTACAATACTTTTATTGTCCTTGTACTTACTGGATATAAGTGGTTTAATAACATTTGTAACATCTTCAAAAAATCAACCATCAGTTCAGCGAGAATGCCACAGCAGGCAAACAAGCAGCCTCCTGTGACCACTCAGGACCACTAATGCCATCTATTGGCAGTGGGCTGGGGCCCGACTTCCCTTTCGTCACTGAGAATCCTTAAATTAAAGAGCTTCTGTGTTTTCTTAACTCTCCCACCCTCAACATGGGAGTTTTATCTCCTTCGGCTACATGAGTCAGTGGGTTATGTGGGAGAGGACTGTTTAAAAGGTTACTTACCATGTCAATGCCACAGACTGCAAAATGCAGAAGATAAGTGCAAGTCCCTTGTTATGCCACTGGAAAAATAATGGTACGGTTATAGGAGACTGTGAGACAAGGGGCAAAAGCCAAAATGATTAAGAAAAATTAAATTATGCACTTACCCAAAAGGCAGAACACAGGGTAAGTGCAAAACACAACTAGGAGAAAGAAAACATTAGTTAATGACAATGATAACATGGCAGAAAAAAGAAAATCCTCAAAACCTGTTATTCTTGACAAAGGTACAATACTTCTTAGGCTGCGGTAATCAGAGTCTGTGATTCTCACAGCATCCCAAATGCATCCTTCATCTCAAAGCAGTGAACCCACCTCAGCATGCATGTTTGGCAGAATAGTTAAAAATCTCCAGGAAATCAAACTAGCCAATCAAGATTCACATAGATTAAAAAGAGAAAGATGTTCTTTTACTTTCAAGTTTTCCCAGAACCTCTGCCCAGCAAACAAATCATATTTCAGGCCCACCCATTCATCCATCCATCCATCTTTTCATTCAAATGCACCAAAGTAAGCTTAATACAAATCTCTCTACTTTAACTCCTGCCAAATGCTAGTCTCTAGAGCAGAAAGCACAGGCGAGGCCAAAGGTTAACATGAGATATCAATCTCACAGCCAGCATGCCAGTTATTTGTTTACATGTCACCTAACACTTTCCCTAAGGCCATTCTTAGAAAGCTCTTTCTACAGGAGACTTGTCCAGGCCTCAGACATCTGGGGTTGGCCACGTACCACTGGTGCTAGAGCAGTCAGCCACACCTTTCCTCTCCATCCTCCTACAACAGTAACTACTCAAATATGTCCTAAATGTTCTCTGTATCCAGCATTGTGCCCAACACTGCAAGGACACAAAATAAATAGCAAATGTCACAGCTTTCGAGAACCTACCTATTGGTACAAATGAGATTACATAAATGAAACTAAAAATAAAAGTATGTTCATCAAGTTCCAAATGTTGCAATAGTCACATTGCAGAGTTATATTCTGGAATGGTTATATTCCAGACCAGGGAATGCAGGTCTGGAACGATTTTCACAACCACAGGCAAGAGAATGGGCCAAAAATGAGAGGCATTTGTGGTCAATGGGACAGGATGATATAAGAAAGCTGAAGACAGTGCTGTCAGAGCAGGGAACAAGGATGACAGGCTATAAGGAGGCCACTCCCACTTTGGGAAGACTGATGAAAACCAGTGATAAGTCCCCTCATCAGATAATGAGGAATAAAGAGCCTATCCTGTAAGACTGGACACCTGGCCGGGCGCAGTGGCTCAAGCCTGTAATCCCAGCACTTTGGGAGGCCGAGACGGGTGGATCACGAGGTCAAGAGATCGAGACCATCCTGGTCAACATGGTGAAACCCCGTCTCTACTAAAAATACAAAAAATTATCTGGGCATGGTGGCGTGTGCCTGTAATCCCAGCTACTCAGGAGGCTGAGGCAGGAGAATTGCCTGAACCCAGGAGGCGGAGGTTACAGTGAGCTGAGATCGCGCCATTGCACTCCAGCCTGGGTAACAAGAGTGAAACTCTGTCTCAAAAAAAAAAAAAAAAAAAAAGACTGGACACCCACCCTAGAGAATGAGTCCTGTGTTTCTGAGTTATTCCCTCTAAGCCCTGGCCTGTGTGTGGCTTCGACAGTCACCAGGAAGGTGTCAAAGCTCCCTTACTACCACCTACCACTCTGGCTAGTCTGACAAGCAATGCCCTCTAGAGGTGCTTTTAAGAACTGGTGGCACCTTGACACCCACTGAAACACAAAGTTGGGGAGGAGGGGATCGTGGTATTAGGTAAAGTGGAGGGTTCCCTTCTGCCACATGGTTATAGGAATAAGGTAGTGAGTCAAGCTGAAAGGAAAAAGAGAAGAGGTCCTTAGGTTTACAGGGAAAGAAATCCTAAACAACAGAAATAAAAACTCCCATTTGAGAAGTCCAGCGAAAAAGCAGACCTTACCAGCACCATGATAGTTGCAATCAGACGCGTAGGCTCAAACATCCGCTTCAGCTGTTTCAGCGGCCCCATGAGGAAGATGGTACTGAAAGGCAAACGCACGAGCCGTTCAGAGCAAAACTGCGCGAGGCACTGAGTTGCCTCCCAGGACTTCCGTGGCAATGGTGGCTCACTTTTGAAAAGCTCTTATTCTGTGGCAGGCACTGCGCTGAAGGGCATTTTGTGCATTATTCTCACTTAATCCATCAATAACCAACCTATAAAGTGGAGCAATTACCACACCAAAGCCGGAGAGTTACTTCCCCAAGGCCACCCCACCAGGGTGTGACTGTAGAGTTGTATCACACCACTAAGTTAGGTAAGCCTTCTCCTTGACAGGTGCCACCCTGCCTACCTGACAGCCTTCTCATGGAAACAAACAAGGCTCAGGAAATTGAAGAAAAACCGTATCTTACAGGCTTAGGTAGGTTAGGTTAAATGCAGAGCATTTCATCTTCTTTCATCATCTCCAAAGAATAATTCTGATTTGAATTATTCTAACTTGTTGAACGTTTGCTAAATGCCAGATATTACATATATTACCTCATTTCTTCTCAACAACTTTGTGAGTTAGGTATTAAAATCATTTTAGAGATGAGAAAATCACACAGCTACCAAAGAGCCAGCATTCTACTCTCCATTTATTGAATTCCAAAGCTCTAAAAGACACCCCCGGCCGGGCGCGGTGGCTCACACCTGTAATCCCAGCACTTTTGGAGGCCGAGGCGGGTGGATCACGAGGTCAAGAGATCGAGACCATCCTGGTCAACATGGTGAAAACCCGTCTCTACTAAAAATACAAAAAAAAATTAGCTGGGCATGGTGGCGCGTGCCTGTAATCCCAGCTACTCAGGAGGCTGAGGCAGGAGGATTGCCTGAACCCAGGAGGCGGAGGTTGCCGTGAGCCGAGATAGTGCCATTGCACTCCAGCCTGGGTAACAAGAGCAAAACTCCGCCTCAAAAAAAAGACATCCCCAGCAGTCTATGGCCACACCACCCTAAATGCGCTGGATCGTGTCTGACCTCAGAAGCTAAGCAGGGTCAAGCCTGGTTAGTACTTGGATGGAAAAAGACATCCCAAGCGTGCTTTCTGTATGAATGAACTTGAGAAACGGCTAGCAAGAGTAATCATACACGAAGCAGACTGTCATGCCTAATATATGAAGTGCCAGGGACAACTTTATGTCATGCTTCCTGAGTCCCGAGGTGTCACTCCAGTGGTAGCTCATTATAGCTAGTGTTTAATACAAGCCAACTCGCAGACGATATTTGCTACTGAGTATGCAACAAAAATAAAACTTTTTTTTAAATAAGTCTTCCTTTTTTTTTTTTTCTGAGATAGAGTCTCGCTGTCACTCAGGCTGGAGTGCAGTGGCATGATCTCAGCTCACTGCAGCCTCTTTCTCCCAGGTTCAAGTGATTCTCCTGCCTCAGCCTTCCAAGTAGCTAGGATTACAGGCCCATGCCACCATGCCTGGCTAATTTTTGTATTTTTAGTAGAGATGGGGTTTTACCACGTTGTCCTGGCTGGTCTCAAACTCCCAACCTAAGGTGATCCGCCCGCCTCAGCCTCCCAAAGCGCTAGGACTACAGGCGTGAGCCACCACACCCAGCCAATAAGTCTTCCTGTCTTTGAAGTGCCATTAAGTTGTAACTTGAATTCAAGGCTTTACTCTCATCTCAAGTGTCCCAAGTAAGAGAATACTTCTTTAACCTACACCGAATAAGAAGCAAGTCAAGGCTAGTCCTAAAAACTAAACATAGCATATACACAAAACCATAAGAGACTACAGGCAAAGCCACAAACTCCCAAAAATACCCTGAAAATAACAATTTGCTCCCTTTATTATTTCCCTACTCAGTCCTATGAAGAATCCAGTCCATTGGGATTTGCTAAAGAGCTCTTTGGACTAAGCAACACATCCATGTATTTATGCTCAGTCTCGACTATACATTATAACTTAACACTGTCTGCCCAAAACCACACCCCCTGCAAAAGTTAGTATTGGAGAGAGCTTTAGAGGCAACAACAGACATCTCTAAGGATCAGCATTTTAGTGTCATCAGCACTAATAAATTAAGCTTTAAACAGGTGGCCAGAATCATGCACTCGATCATTTAACATCCCCCATTTCCAGCCAAACACAAAGCTAAGTTTGGGTACAAATGGGGACAAGGAAGATACACGTGCAGCCCTTATCAAGTGGCTTACGGACCTAACAAGTACGTGTAATAAAATGCTATCTGCACTGGCACATAATTACAGATGGGATACTGAGAGCCCAAAGGAAGAGGTCATCAATTCTGGAGAGGAGGTGGTAATCAGGAAAAGCTTCACAGAAGAGGTGGCTTTTGAGCCAGGTCTTAACAAATGAGCAAGTATCTACCAAACCAGGGGAGGTACAGCTAGGGCAGCATTCCAGGCACAGAAAACAACCTAACAAAGGCACAACAACATTTTGGGAAATGCAAGAAGTTCAGCCTGGCTGGGAAGCACACTGGGTAGGGAATGGGACCACAGTGAAGCCAGATCTCAAAGGGGCTTGCCTGTTTGTGTGTTGAGGAGTTTGGACTTCATCTGTACCGAGAAAATAGGGCTATAAATGAATGGCTCCACAACTCAGTCAAAAATGGCCTGGAGAGGGGCAATGGAGGAGACAGAGAGACCCAGCAGAGGCATCTTGTTCAGATAAGGGGTGATCCAGGCCAAAGCTAAGACCAGCTCAGATATCACCTTCTCTAGGAAACCCTTCCTGATGGAGGTCATATCAGCTGCCCCTCTTTGAACGCCTCTTTCCATATCCTTTTATGTCATGAAGTATATGTCTTTCTGCCTGGCAGGGACCAAGCTGGACTTGTCTTTGTATCCTCTGGGCCCAGCACAGAGTGTGATCAATGCTTACCCACTGAGCATGCAATTCGGTGAAGCACAAACAGCCATGAGGACAAAGAGGAAGGAGCCAGTAAGATAAGTATATATCAAACCCTGGTTAGGAATCACGGAGGGGAGGCTTGGACCTCCAGGACTCTGAAGCCATTTACAGAGACACATGGGAAGGGAAAAAGGGGAAAACAGATGCCTGAGTTCAGGTTCCTACAGGTCATTCAGGTAGGGGCGAGGCCAGTGCTCCCAGTTGGAGAGGGTGGAGTTGTTGGTACCAATGTGACTGAAGCATCAGTGTGAATGAACTTGACCTGGAAAGTCTGTGCATCCACAACCTACAGGAAGCACTTACATTCCCTGCCCCCATGAGCTGCTACTCAGGTCTGGGAAGGTCTGACACTAAATAGAAACCAGTTTCCCATATGGCCACTGGAGGGATGAGCCCTCTGAAAATCATCAGCTTAATCTCTGACAGTAATAAGAATACAGCAGGCAGGAGCAATGTGTTGTAAACCCTGAAATTATTCAACTGCTCTGTGTCAGTGCCTGTATATGTAGAATCACAATGCCAACTATTATTTACTGCTTTCTCCCAGGTGTTTCAAAGACACACTAAGATATAAAATGTTTTGAAATAATAAGATGAATGTGACATATTCTAACTACTGTTTCTCTCCAAATCCCTGACAACTACTGAAGCATCCTCTTTTACCTCCCTCAAGTACAACCAATATCCATTTTCCCATCTAATGATTGGCTAAGACTGGATTTTAAAAAAAACAGTTACCTCCCAATTGATGCGATGTTACCAAAAGTATAAAACACTGCGAAGAGGTGTAGTCCCTTCCTGGGCACCCACAGCAGAAAAGTACCCTGGAATGTAAAGCACAGTGTTTGCACATAAGCAACCCCTCCCACCCAACCACACAAGCAGAGCTCACGGAAGCCCCAGGAAGTCCATTCCCCACCTCTCTTATTCCCCTCTTCTCTCATCCATGCATTTTAGTGAAGAGCAAAAGGGGAAAGGAGATGGGCAAAACGGGGAATATATAGCAAAGACGAATGGGAGGAAAAGACAGGGGAGGGAGAGAAATCTTACCAGCAGTGAGCAGAGAATTCCTATAGCAAAACACGCAATGAAGCCTTTTATCCTGGTACCCCAGCTTAACGAAGATGCCTCAACAACCTAAAATTGTAAAAGAAAAAAAAAATTACATATACACACACATTTACTAAAAACAAAGCAAGCACAATTAAATCTAGAAAGTGTTAAGTTGTGTTAGAGAAGGCAAGAAGCACAGAATCCTACACACTCAGGCAATGCAAGTCTTCGAATCCAGACCTTATCGGAGTTGTAAAGCTATGATGCAGACAGGAATCTCCCCTCCAGCAGCTGACAGCCGTGTCTCCAGCTGAACATCTTCAGAGGTAGAAACTCCCTCCCTCAAGCACAACCCATTTCACAAACAAGAAGGCAAGACAGGCAATCCTAGAGTAGCCCAAAGCCTTCCCACAGCCCAGGCAAGGTAAGGACCACAACTGGAAAGGCATGAGCTCCACCAGACAGGGTCCCAGGAAATAAGGAAAAGATGAAGGGACGGCAGTCAAGCAGCTGGTCCACTGGTCATCCTCTCCTACATCAACTCTCACCCACATTACTCACTCTCGGTTCAGATGTTGTACTTACAGGGTGCTGGCATCAGCCAGCTTATCCAAGTGTGAGACAAATCTTGGTTAATTAATTACTCTCCTGCTCATCCTGATTCTTTACCATCATTGTTGATTCCTCCCTGGAGCAAAGTTCAGGAGAAGCCAGGAGTTCCAAAACAACTACTGAAACAGGAGAGCCTGTGAGTAGATCCCAATAGTTATTTTCTCATGTCAGAAATGACAACAGCTGGGCGCAGTGGCTCATGCCTATAATCCCAACACTTTGGGAGGCAGAGGCAGGCTCATCACCTGAGGTCAGGAGTTTGAGACCAGCCTGACCAACACGGTAATACCCTATCTCTACTAAAAATGCAAAAAATTTGCCAGGTGTGGTGATGCATGCCTGTAATCCCAGCTAATGGGAGGCTAAGGTAGGAGAATTGCTTGAACCCAGGACGTGGAAGTTGCAGTGAGCCAAGATCATGTCATTGTACTCCAGCCTGGGCAACAAGAGTGTAACTCCGTCTCAAAAAAAAAAAAAGACAACCAAGTGTCTGCACGGGCAACCCTGCTAGTCTGATGCAAATGGGCACAGTTGGACAGGGACAGCTGCCAATGAGAGACCAACACCACACAGGGCAGCCAGGCCATGTATATTCACACAGGGCTCACCTTGCGTGGCCAGCATAGTCTCCGTCTATCAATGTGGTCAAAGTTGTCTATACCATTGTTTCCACCTGGCTGATGGAAGAGGGGAGGTAGTAGCAGAGAGTCAAGGGTCACTAGACTGGCAACTCCGTCAGCCTTGACTATCTCCAACGGAGGAATCTGTTTTCAACCCTGTCTCCTGAGTTCCTGTCAAACCAGAAGCTTGAAAAGAAGGACTAGAGGCTCCCCCAGGTGTGGCACGTATTGCTAAAGACTACCTCAATCTCCACTCAGGAGAAAGGTATTTGGGTCAGGTTATACATTCATATATAATGGATCTGGGCTAATGACCCTGCACAGCAAGCACAAATTATGGACGGTAACAGGCAGCAGGGGCCAGTGATATGACCTGACAGATCAGCCACCTCATTCTACACGGAGGTAAACCTCTCCTGGAGGAGTCTGGTTTCCCAAACCCCCTTGGACTCCACAATGAGCCATGTGATGATGCTCTGGTAGCAGGCTGTACACGGCCCCTGACAATCTAGTCAGGCTACTTCTGACTAAACCATTTAGTCTCCCACCAAGGACAGAGCAAAATGAGAAGCTACCACTCTTCCTATTCATGCAACAACCAGAGAACTTACCCTGCCAAGGTGAAAAAAGAACAAGCTGCACATAGGAAGAAAAGAGTGGTAGTAGGATTGGCCTGGCTTGTTCACAGGAAGACGAGTGGTACTAGATGGGCCTGGCTTGTTCGGAGGAAGAAGAGCGGTGGTAGGACTGGACTGGCTTGTTCGGAGGAAGAACAGAGGTAATAGGACTGGACCGGATGGTTCCCTGAGCACTGCATGGCATCAACAAGGATATTTTCAAAGATTCAACCTTTCTACTTTAAGACGATAAACCATAGGGTTAAAAATGAAATTTGAATTGGCTCTGACATCTAGATTGCTAAATAACCTCAACAGAACAGTGAGATTCCAGCCTTCATAAAAATTAAAATCACTGGCAACAGGAAGCAGTTCAGCCAAAAATGTGTTTCTACCTTCAGAAAGGAAAGTGACACTCCACATCCAAGTCTCTCAAGCTCAATCCATCCAAATGTTACTGTTTGCCAAAATGGAAGGGATGGCGGGCGCATTTCACCACTGGATTTTTCCATTCCATGTAGCTGCAAGTTCTTTTACAAGCACACTTGGTCAGGGAAGGAGGAAGCTGTTGTTCCACTTCTTCTAACTGGACTCAGTGAAAGCAAAACATTTCTTTTTGCCAAATGATGAAAACAAACTCATAAAATGTCTGTAAATGCATGACTGCTGGAAGCTGTGCTAGAGTACTCTTTGGGAAATCAGAGTAGCTAAAACAGTACCTGGGAAGAATGTGCAGGCGATGTGCTCACAAGGAGTCTGCCTGGCAGTTATTCACAAGGTCGCTTTCACTCTGCGATGTGGAGAGAAGAGGGGCTCTTACCAAGAAGTAAAACTAATTGTTCAGAAAAACAGGACTGGTGACCATAAGGAGGTGAGAAAGGAATACTGCTTCATTTCCACACTTTAAAATCAGATACTATTCACACCTTTCTTGTCCCAGAATCCTTTATAAAAAACATAAAACCTATACTTTCAGAAAAAAGTCCAGTGAAACTAAAGATTTAAGGTGTATTTATGAAGATGAGGTATCAATTAGGAAATTCATCATGAGGCTATAATTAGATGCTGCCATGAAAAGTTTATAACTACCTAGGAGAGGTAGAAGAAATAGAACTAGTCATACCTTTATGGTTTGCATTAAAGGAATAAAAAGTGTAAAAAGCACTCTTCTAGTGTCCTCTTAAAGAGATTTTTAAGAGCACCTAAGAATTCAACTAACCATACAAAGAGCAATTTCCTCACAGAATCCACCAGTTTTGGCAGCCCCCAAACCACGAAAAATGTGAGACAATCAAATAAATCAGTACCAATATTTTAAGGGAGGTTCTGACCTAATCAGTAAAAACTAAAGTAAAAAGCATGGAAGAGGAAGTCAGTCAGCAACAAAACATTTCCCAGGAATTCAAGACTCTGGAAGTACCATACAATGGTATTATAAACAGAAATGTCACTCAGAAAGAGGAAGCTGACCAAAGTATTTGAGAACAAGAATGAGCACCTATTCTTTTTCAAACAGATCCAACAGGTGCCTGAGCATAACGCATTAAAGCCCTTCTCATAATATCCAACACAGGCATTCACCGTTTTAGGTTACAAACAAGCTCCGCATTTATGTTTGCAAACTTCGCTAGCTGTGGGCCCAGTACTTCGTGATGATTTTTGAGACAATAATACCGGCATCATCCCACTGTCAACACCCCACCTCCCAAGAGTCTGCAGGGAGAGAAAGTATCTCCTCTTAAGCACCAACTGTTCATAAAGGCTTGCTGACAGTCAATGGAAATAAAGCTTTAAATAGCAAGGGTCAGCAACCTACAAGTCAGACCTTTCTTAGGCCCAGTCTGAGGTTCCACTTGAGATTCATAATAGAGGCTAGAAATCAAGAAAAAAGAACCCGTGAAATTAATCCTGGGCCTTCACCAATTAACAAAGGCAACAAATTAAAAACAAACCACCAACTTGTTTTGAAATGTCAACAAGTTAAACTTCAGTGCCTCCAACATTTGATCCCATAGCATTACTCCCTCCAGGTAATTCAGAGAGCAAGTTTGACATTCTGAGATGTGATGGAGAAAGTATAATTACCAGTATCACACAAAACAAAACAAATCAGCAACCACAAACGAGGGTGAAAGCAGCTTGCTGAGAAACCCAGAAGAAATACTGATTAAAGTGAGAGGGAAACTCCAGTTTCCAGTTGAAAGAGGCCATATCATCTTGTTCAATACCCGCATTTCACGGAGGGTATGGAACGGAGGCTGAAGAATACTCCAAAAAGTGAAGAGAAACGTTATTTTGTCATCTGAAAAGGAAAACAATAGACAAAAGCATCCAAAATAGAAATGCATCATTCTGTGTGGTTCTACAACTTAGGACATTAGCGGCCAGGTTTCAGCACTATCAAAACTTTTCTAATAGGCCAAGCGCGATGGCTCACACCTGTGATCCCAGCACTTCGGGAGGCCGAGGCGAGCGGGATCACTTGAGGTCAGGGGCTCGAGACCAGCTTGCCAACATAGTGAAACCCTCGTCTCTAGTAAAAATACAAAAATTAGCCTGGCTTGGTGGCAGGTGGCTGTAATCCCAGCTACTTGGGAGACTGAGGTGGGAGAATCGCTTGAACCTAGGAGGTGGAGGCTGCAGTAAGCCGAGATCGCAGCTGCACTCCAGCCTGGGCAACAGTGAGACTCCGTCTCCAAAAAAAAAAAAGAAAGAAAATATTTTCTAATAAAACAAATCAACACGCAGGCAGTCTCCTGAGGCGCTGGGTGTCTAGAGTCTAGGTGTGGGCACAGGGACACAGAGACACAATACGTGATCCCTGCCCTCATAGGGTGGAGGCAGTTTTACAATCACGAGGCGATGTGCACAGGGCCGGGTGGGAGTGTCACACTCTACAACTAAACCGGGCAGAAAACCAAGGCAGAGCTCGGGTCGCGGTTACCAACCACGTCGCGAGATGGGGACCGCCACCCCAACACCCCAGCCCTGGTCCAGCGCCCCGACCCACCCAGCAAGGGCTCCTTCCTCCAGCCCTGCCCGGTCCTAAAGCGCATTCCCCGGCTGGTAGGGCTGGGGCCGACCTCCGGGACACCTGCCCTCCCACTCGCAGGTCAGTCCCGGGATTTCCTCCTGCCCGGCCCTCTGTCGGGGAGGATGGGCAGAAGGAAGGGACGTGGGGCAGAAGGAAGGGACGTGGGGCAGAAGGAAGGGACGTGGGGCAGAAGGAAGGGACGTGGGGCAGAAGGAAGGGGCGCGGGGCAGAAAAGGACGCGGCGGCCGAAGGCCCACTGCAGCCCCGGGGCTCCTCGCGTAGCCGTGCTGGAGAAGAGGAGGAGAAGGGGCAGAGCCGCCATCCAGAAATTCCTGGAAGTCCCAGCAGGCTTCCCAGGCCCGGGCGGGGAACGCAGGGCGGGAGCGCGGCGAGAGAGGGCCGAGTTCCCGGGTTCACTCACCTCGGACAGGCCGCTCCGGTCCTCCGTGTCCTGCCCGCTCAGCACCTTCTTCAGCTTGTCCATTGCGGCCCAGTCCCCACCGGCTCCGGCCCCTCCGCGGCCGCCTGTTGCGCTAGCTAAGTTGCTGGCTCTTCCGGGTGCTCTGCAGCCGCCAGGATGCCAACCGCGGCGCGCCCCGCCCAGGCACCTGCCCACCTGGGGGCGCCCGGCATGCCTCGCGCCGGCCTTCGCGGGCGTGTTTTGGTCCCGGGAGGCGGGTCAGGCCAGAGGGGCTGGGATTGAAGTCCACCAGGCGTTGCCAAACACTAATTCGGCGTCCGGCACTGTGTTCCAAACCGGAACGGGCCGCGCTCCCTCGCCCTGTTGCCTGTTGTTCCGGGCAACAAACGAGCCGCATCTACCACGTGCAAGGCTCTGGAGTAACAAAGACAGCGAAGGAGCCTCGTGCAGGCGGGAGCAAAGGCTGTGGTTCATCCACGTTGCGATCGCGCTTACACTGGAAAAGTTTTTTGTTTTTTGTTTTCTGTTTTTGAGACGGAGTTTCGCTCTTGTTGCCCAGGCTGGAGTGCGGTGGTGCCATCTCAGCTCACCGCAACCTCTGCCTCCTGGGTTCAAGCAATTCTCTGGCCTCAGCCTCTCGAGTAGCTGGGATTACAGGCATGTGCCACCACGCCCCGCTAATTTTGTATTTTTAGCAGAGACGGAATTTCTCCATGTTGGTCAGGCTGGTCTCGAACTCGTGACCTCAGGTGATCCGCTCCCAAAATGCTGGGATTCCAGGCATGAGCCACGGCGCCCAGCCAAGAGTTACTGTTTCCTTTTTCAGTCACTCAAGGCATTAGCCTGGTGTGGTGGGGCATGCCTGTAAACCCAGCTACTCAGGAGGCTGAGGCAGGAGGTTCACGAGCCAAGGAGTTCCAGGCTGTAGTGAACTATGATCAGGATACTGCACTCCAGCTTCGGTGACAGAGCAGAGCGAGACTCTGTCTCAAAAAAAAAAAAAAATGACTGAAGGAATATGGAAAGGAATAAAAGATTGTTGTTAAACTGTACAATAGTTTGTTTTACTGACCTCAAAAAAACTGAAAATAGACTGGGCATGGTGGCCATGTCTGTATTCCCAGCACTTATGGGAAAATGGCTTGCGCCCAGGAGTTCTAGACCAACTTGGGCAACATAAGGAGACCTCATCTCTGCAAAATAGTTTTAAAACTTAGCCAGGCATGGTGGTGGGCCCCTGTAGTCCAAGCTACTTGCAAGGCTGAGGAGGAAGAATGGCTTGGACTCAGGAGGTCAAGGCTGCAGTAAGCCACGATCTCAAGGCAGTAAGCGCTGCACTCTATAGCCTGGGCAACAGAGTGGAAACAATCCAAATGGCCATCAGCTGATGAATGGTAAATAAAATGTGACATACTCACACAATAAAAAAGAATGGAGCACAGACACATGCTACAACATGAATGAACCTTGAAAACATTGTATTAAGTGAAAGAAATGTAGACCCCGAAAATTTGAGACAAGTCTCAGTTAGATTAGGAAGTTTATTTTGCCAAGGTCGAGGACGATCGCCTGTTACACAGCCTCAGAAAGTCCTAATGACATGTGCCCAAGGAGGCTGGGGCACAGCTTGGTTTTATACATTTAGGGAGACATGAGACATCAATCAACATACGTAAGAAGTGCATTGGTTTTCTCTGGAAAGGCAGGACACTGTAGGCAAAGGCAGGAAGACTCAAGTGGGGAGGAGGCGTCCAGGTTGCAGACAGGTGAGAGACAAAGGTTGCATTCTTTTGAGTTTTTGATTAGCCTTTTCCAAAAGAAGGCAATCAGATATGCATTTATCTCAGTGAACAAAGGGATAACTTTGAATAGAATGGGAGGCAGATTTGCCCTAAGCAGTTCCCAGCTTGAATTTTCCCTTTAGCTTAGAAATTTGGGGGGCCCAAGATATTTTCCTTTCACAGAAGCTAGACACAAAAGAACATATATTGTATGATTTCATTTATAGTAAATGTCTAGAATAGGCAAAACAGAGAGTAGATTAATGGTTGCCGAGGGGTAGCAGAGGGGAAATGGTAATGAGACTAATGGAGTGACTTAAATGTTCTGGAATTGGATGGTGGTAATGGTTGCATGCACAACTCTGAATATACTAAAAACCATTGAATTGTATGCTTTGACTGTATGGCATATGAATTCTATTGTAATAAAGCCATTTCAAAAATGCTTAGAACTGTGCTCAGTATATATTTCACAATCTATTATCTGTTGTAAAATGTAACAGGCATCCATCCACTCTTATCTTTCCCCAATGTATCTGAGTTTGAACCCAGAATATGGGCTCCTGATTTAGCCACAGGTATATTTGCACGTTGTGCAATTAGACCATTACAAGGTGATTCATTGTAACATTGATTTTAATAGAAAAAGATTGGAAAAAACTTAAAAGTCCATGAATGAGGGAAGTGCTTGAATAAATTATGGTACATTCATTCACAAGAATATTAAGTAGTCATTAAACACAGAAGAATGAGGAAGGTTTAATAAATGTCTTCAGAAGGTTCTTTCTGATTGTGCCACACCATTCCTTGAAGGATCTTTGTCAATGTAAGTCTGACTCATTTGTTGCCTGCTTAACGCAGTGTTGCTAACTGAAAAATGGTCCCCAAAAGATATCTCTGAAGGACCCTCAGTGTTGTGCCACTCTGTGGATATTTGTAGGGGCAGCCGGGCCTCCCCTCTACTTCCAGTGGGTCTTCTTGCCTTTTCTTCAGTCTTCCACATGAAGTAAATAAATGAAATAGAAGCCCTAGCTGAACCAATCAGGACAGTGCCTCTTGTTCTATTTTGGCATCACAGACCCTTTTGAGAGTATGATTGTCATGCAGCCTGTCTCCACCTGCCCCTGTACAGAAAAGTGTCCCACGCTACCAGGGTTGTTTCATATGCCAGGTGTTCCACCATGACTACGGACCCTTGGTTGAAAACCCTGGGTTTAGATAAAAACATTCAGATACACACCACCAGCCTTATATCTCTCCAAGCCCTTAGATTGCTTTGTGTTGGTCAGGCTGGTCTCAAACTCTCAAGTGTTATTTCTTAAGGAATACATTTCATAGGGCTATAGCTGCTATAGACAGTGACTCCTCTCATGGATCTCAGCAAAGTCAATTGAAAACTTTCTGGAAAGGATTCACAATTCCAGATGCCAATTGGTGGAGCACTTGAGGTCAGGAGTTCAAGACCAGCCTGGTCAACATGGTGAAACCTGGTCTCTACTAAAAATACAAAAATTAGCTGGGCTTGGTGGCACATGCCTGTAACCCCAGATACTCAGGAGGCTGAGACAGGAGAATTCCTTGAACCCAGGAGGCAGAGGTTGCAGTGAGCTGAGATTGTGCCACGGCATTCCAGCTTGGGCAACAGAGAGACTCTGTCTCAAAAAATAAATAAAATAAAAAATATAAATAAAAGAACTTGACCTCTCTCTTGCTCCTGCTCTTGTCACGTGACACATCAGCTCCCCTTTCCTTCTGCCATAAGTAAAAACTTCCTGAGGTCTAACCAGAAGCAAATGCTGGTACCATGTTTCTTGTACAATCTGCAGAACCATGAGCCAAAATAAACCTCTTGTCTATAAATTATCCAGTCTCAGGTGTTCCTTTATAGCAATGCAAAATAGACTAACACAGAGACCATTCGTTTGGAAATTGTGTCAATGTAGACACCAGTTTGTAGGGGTTTGGGCTGTACTGATGTGGTTACTATCTTCGGTATACTACAGGCTTCACATTCTTCCAGTGGTTGACTGCTATTACTTTATACTTATAGTGCGCCTGGAGTACAGGACTTAGAATTCTGAGTTTCACCCTCAATTTTCAGGGATCCCGGTATGCCTACACCACAGAGAGGATCTATATTTACACTTTTGCTGAGTCCTCAACAACAGACTGGCATTCCTCATTACTTAGTATTAGGCTCACAGGACAGGAGTTTTTTGTCCTTGCCTAGCCTCAGTCTTAGGCAGGCTTTGTGTGACTGGCCCTCAGGGATGTGGCTTTCTCAACATTCCTGTACCATTTCCCAATAGTAGTCAAAATCTGTTTCAAATCTACTGTTGGTCTTGTGCAACAATTTCATGCCCATTCCCCACTAAGAGTAGACCTCTTTTTGTTATCCATGTGGCATCCTGGGCCCAGATTTTCTGCCCTGCCTCCAAGGTCAATTTTTGCTTCTACTCCTCTAGCAGTTACTATTGTTTTCCTCTGTCCTGAAGGCAGACTATTTCCTACCTCTCTCCCAAAAGCAGATGGGTTTTGTCTACATTTCTACCCCAAATCAATGAATTTCTGCCTGGGCCCTGGGAATGATAGGGCTTGTTGCTCCTCCCTACAGTAGCCTAAGGCTATTGCATCATTCAAGAAAAGAGCTTGAAAGTAGGCAGCCTTTCATGGCGGCCAACTGCCTTCTGTTTGCTTAAACCACCTACTGAGACTTTCTGGTTCCCTGCCCTGCTTCTAGTTTTTCTTGAGTCCTGGTGTAGGCCCCTGGGAAAGAACTCGTCAATGAGTATGAAGTTCCCTTATTTGAGATTTGGCTATTCAAAACTGGTATGCTAGCCCACAGGAAGACTTTAAGAATATGTTAAAATTGGGCAGGGCGTGGTAGCTCGCGCCTATAATCCCAGCAGTTTGGGAGGCTGAGGTGGGTGGATCACGAGATCGAGACCATCCTGGTCAACAAGGTGAAACCCCATCTCTACTAAATTATACAAAAATTAGCTGGGCATGGTGGCACGCGCCTGTAGTCCCAACTACTCGGGAGGCTGAGGCAGGAGAACTACTTGAACCCAAGAGGCGGAGATTGTGGTGAGCTGAGATCTCGCCGTTGCACTCCAGCCTGGGTAACAAGAGCGAAACTCCGTCTCAAAAAAAAAAAGAATATGTTAAAATTATTGCTAATGTTTTATTACCTGCTTATATAAGGGCCTCTCTTTCTCTTGGGTTCTTCCCAAGGCTAATGAGTCTGTATGGCCCATCTCTCCTTGTGGGGCTTATCACTCTCTGGGATTTGGTTTATTTGCCTTGTAATTTCAGTTACTTGATATGCTTAAGAGAAGCTCTAATTTTACAGATGACCCAGCCTTTTCTCCTTGTTAAAATGGGAATGACTGACTCTTGAGGTTTTCCACATCTTCTTCAGAAGCAGAACTCTGGCTACCTCTACTAAAGTTGGTTGATTTTCTGTTACTCTCTTAAGTCGGTATCATTTCCATCACTGCACATATTAAAATTACTATTATTTTACTCTGTTGCCTCCATTAGACTTTAAACCCACAAAAACATATACTACATTGCTTCACTGTTGTAATCCATTATACC